GATCCACGGGAGGCTTTCAGGAGATTCCCTAGGTCAAAACTGTTTTCATAATACTAAGACATTTTAGTTTCTACTAATAAAGTAAACAGCAATAAATATATCCCACAAAAAACAAAAACTGAGGAGGGAGGGTTTTTTTGTGGTGTAAAATGGGTCTAGAGAGCAAAAAGTTTTAGTACTACTGGCCTAGAGATCTGAAGCTAAGGGACTTTAACCACAATTCCACACCATGTGTCAAGATCCACATCTTTTTTGACCCCAAAGTAGGCCCTCTATCCATTATACCAAGCTGCTTATCATTACTGAGTTTTACTAGTATAGGCCACACCTAAATATTTAAGTAGGCATTAAAACTCAAGGTAGGTGATGTGCTTATCATATAGTTTTAAAGGACTGAAAATGTCTAAGAAACAAGATACCAGACAATATGCAAAATTTTTTAACCAAATGCTCTATCAAATAGTAAAATGACATACTTGAGACAGTTTTCCAATAGTGATTGATAATGGGATGTGCATGGATCTTATATCAATTTTCCACACTCTCACGTTTATCCCCCCCCAAAAAAGTGTTACAATAGAAAAACTCTAGGTTTAGAATCAGAGGGCCAGGATGTGAATATCTGCTCCACAGTGTGGTATGATGTAAAAAGTGGTAGATTTAGAGTCAAAAGACTGGGTCAATCAAATCTTGGCTTAACCACTTACTACCTATGAGACCTTGCAGTTTCCTCTTTAATTATAAAATGAAGAAGCTGGATAAAATGATCCCAAAGGTCTTTACCTGTTCCAGCTCTAAAGCCTGATTCTATCCCACAACAAGTCCACCTTTCCCTCTGAGCCTTGCAACTACAACCCAAATCAGTTGCTCAGAATCTTCTATGACTAGTTTGCACCTGTTTGCACCTTCTATGACTAGTTTGCACTTTATCATAATATCCTATTCTAGTACTTGATCATATCAACACATAATATCGATTTATGTTATCCTGGTCAAAGAATTAATCCCTAGTGACCAAATAAGGATCATCTTCAAAGGAAGATGAAGTAATGAAGCAGGATTTTTGTAGAAACCAAAGATAAGTGACATAAAGTTATAATCCTTATAACAGTTATAAGATTGGAAAAGTGAGCCAATCACATAACAGAAGAATGAAAAGAGATGGCTGGCACAATTATTTTGGAACCCACAAAACATTAAAATACTTAGCAGGAGAAACACCTTAAGCATGCTGGATAGATTAAGATTTTGGAGAACATGGATAAAAAATTCATAATGAAAGAGTAAGTAGATGCAGATATGCATCAATGGAGGGAGTATTTACATGAAATTAATCACACTGTGAAGTATATAATCTTAAGCTCCCACATATACATGTATGCACCCATACACATATATAAATGGGGGGGCGTATATAGACATACAGACATACTCATCTCTTCTTGTTTATATATCTTGCTTGCCTATGTGAAGAAGGAACTATCTCTCGTACTTCTTTTGAGCTCTATTTTGGCCAGCATAGTACTTAGGTATTCTCATTGAGAGCACTCAAAAATTACAAAAGTGACCCATGCATATACTCATGCCAGCTATTCTGTGCAAACTACAGTATTTCAGAGGGCATGGTTAAGGAATAAATTCAAGTTACTTGGCCTACACCAATCAACAAGCATATTAAGAATTAAGTATCTATTATGTGCCAAATCCTACCTTAGGTATTCTCTTGAGGTAAAAGCCCACAAATTTGACCAACCAGATGGTACAGTGACAAGAGAGCTAATCAACTTTAGACAAATGTTTAGATAATGAAGTATACTATGTAATTTAGTCCTATGTTAGCCTAGATATACAAATAAATAAAATAGGAATCCAGGCAAATGCTGGGCATTTCTATCACATTCACAGTGCAAGCTTTTGTGTATTTCAAAATAAAATGAGTAGCAAGATCTCTTGATGCAATATTGTCATACAAAATAAAGGACACAGATGTTTAAGAGACTAACATCAGATTAAATGTGTAGTAATATTTCTTAAAATTATTAGAATTTAGAATTGTATATAGCTTTCATCTTTGTCCCTAGTATTATCACAGAAGACTGGACAAGCCTTTTTAGTATTGTATGTAATAGCACAATTTGAAATTCTTATTCCAGAATAGTCAAATACCCAAAATAAAACCTAAGAATCATTTGATACCTCCAAATACTTAATCAAAACTAAAATTATCCTGATCAGTAATTCATATAATTTTCATATAAGGACAATTTCTCGAAGAAGTATAAGTGAAAACTATTACAGGAGCTTTGCTCACTATGTGAAAATAAGAGAAGAAAAAGGAGAATTGGTCTTTAGGATACTTCAAACATTGCAGAACTGAATAAGTAGTTTCAACAAAAACAAGTGCCTGGAAACCAGTTTTTAAATTATTCTAGATTGGGTTTTTTGTGGAAAAGGACAGTTTCAATAACTATGAGTGTCTCCCAGCCATCCATCACAGCAATAAGTTAAGTATATTAAAATGGTACCTGTTCTCAAGTAGTTTATATCTTGTTAAGAGGACAAAGCTACAAGACCAAAAGAGAAAAATTATACAAAAGGGGAATATAAATACATTTACACACACACACATACACACATAAAGTAGATATGGATTCCACAATTTAATAGGTTAGGATCCAAAAACTTTTCTTCAAAATTAATCTATGTATGTCGGTGCAGTTTTCTACAAAAACAATGTTGTTGAGTGTGTGGGTTCTCAAGCCTGTTTAATCCATAACACACCTAAAGCAACAAACAAAACTAAAAAATCAGGACTATCAATAGTATTTAACTAATGCTGGGGAATGTTTCAATGGAGAAATACATACTCATTCCAATTTCACTGCCCACTCTCCAGCAGTGGCCTCTAGAGAAAGGTGACGTGAAGAAAAGGAAAGCTTCCAAGTCATCAGCAACTGCCAAAGTCTATCTACATACAAGAAGCCACCTCTCCAGGGTGATTACTTTCCTGGATATTCTGAATTGTATAACAAATGGCAGTTGCTCCCAAGAAGTACAGACTGACTCAGGAACCTTTTCATATTCTTAAGTCTCAAGTCCACAAATCCGGAACTTCCCAGCCAGGAAAGACCACATGCAAAAAAAGTATAGTATAGATAATAACTATGTGGAGTCAGGAAAGGAGTACAAAGATGAATGCAGTTAAGGAAAAGAGGTGAGAATTAAAGGCCAATTAGAATTTGAATAAGCAGAGCAAAGGCAGAATGGCATTCCAGATAGGAGGATAAGCAAGAGCAAATACACATGTTAGTTAAGTTCCAGTAACAGTATGGTTATTAGAGAAAGTTTTCAGTTTAGTAGTCGAAAATAAAACTGGATAAGTTAACAAAAATTTCATCAATCTAAGGACACTATCAGAAAGAACACTATATCTAACAAAACCACATTCTCAATGTACTGAGGTTCACCAGTGCAAAAAAAAAATTGCTTATTCTGTTAAAAAAGAAAAAGGGCAGATATACGGGACTTTCTTTTAAAGGATTGTGTCCACACTTCCACTTCAGAAAATGGTAAGTTGTGACTCTGTGCAGGGAGTCACAAGATCTCATGAACTAAATCTCTCTTATTTTTCTCCTCACTAAAAAGATAATAGATGATTTCCAAAGTGTTAAAGTAAGGACTTCTGAATCAAAGCTCCATCTCTCTCTAAAGTCTGGTTTTTCCTAATTTTGATTTAGGGAGCTAAAGCCTTGTATGTTCCATACCAGTGAAATTACAGGGACATTAAAATATGAGTCATAACTTTATCAAGAATGGTGAAGAATTAAGAGAATGGGGACAGTACCCCTACCCTGCTCTCTCCAGGAGTAAAATGGTGAAATTATCAGACACTAAGATTTAATCTCAGGATGACAAAGGTTTACAACACTGGCTTTCCCTGGAGGACAGAGAGGGAAGGGAAGAGGGAGCAACCTTTCAAAGCACCAACTTCTTACTACTTAGGTCTGTGGTACATAAAAGAGTAAGTTACTAGGTAAGTTACAAGGAAGAGGCAGGTGATAAGAGTGAGCTAAAGATATGAAAAGCCAGGCCCTGGGGGGGGAGGGAGACGGGGGGGGGGGAGGAGAGAAAAGGCAGGAGTCTATAGATAAAGTCTGAATAAACAAACGATTTGATCAGTGAATTGAGAAACCTTAAAACTCATATTACTTGCATTAAGCTGGGTTCCATCTTCCTATGAGGCCCTGTAATTAAGGAGCTAACTTGAGGGGGTGCAATATGGGAAAAAGCTAAATGTGTAAAGGGGGGGAAAGTGGTAAGTTAGGAAACCATTTTCTTAAATCTCATTGAATCAGAACTAGAAGAACCTTAGGCATGTCCCACCTCCACCCCAGGGGTTGGATGGGGGAAGTTCAGCGTTTTAGGGTTTGGGCTGGGAGTGAGGAAGAATTGTTGGGGGGGAGACGAGGCCAGCAGAGGCCTTTCCTTCCACCCACTCCTCACTACAATCAAGGCCCCAGGCAGGGTTTGCTTAACCGGGGAATGCCATGAATGGGAGCTGAGATGTAAACCCAGACCTGGCCCAAAAGGCGCCCAGGGTTGGCCTGAAACGGTTGCAAGGGGGGGGTGGGGGTGGGGGAGTGTGAGTGTGAGTGTCTCTGTCTGTGTGTGTGTTTTGACGGGGCTATAGATCAATTTCATTTGTGCGGGGTGACTGGCCTGGGTAAACAGGACTGGCTGTGTGTGTGGGAGGGGGTACTTGAATTGGTTCTTGGAAGGGACAGTCAGGTCAGCATGGGGGGGGCAGGGGGCGGAGGACGGCAGCCCCGGCCTCGGACGCTGCCCCTTTCCCATGGAGACTGAGGAGCGGGGGTGGGGGGGTACCAGGAGCGGAGGGGAGGGGGAGGAATAGATCGGGGGGGGCGGCTTCCGGGGTGGGGGGAGGCAGCCAGGTGGCACTGGCTGGACGCCCGGGCCTCGCCGGGGCCTGGGGGACCTACCGGGCTCGGCAGCTGGGGGTGGCAGGGCGTCCCGGCGGCGGCTCCTCTCATGCTGAGGCGGAGGCGGCGGAGACGGCCTGAGGAGCGGGAGGAGGCGGAGGCGGCGGCGGCGGCGGAGATGACGGCGGGGAGTCCCGGCGGTGGCCGCCTCCGCCGTACTGCATCCCTCCTTCCCTCCCCACCCGCTTCCTCGTCCTCTCTCTCCGGCTTTCCAAACTTCTTCCCCGGGATAAACAAACCCGCCGCCAGGGGCGGCCGCCTCAGACTCTCCCCCCTCCCTCCCCACCCGCCCCCGGCCCCTCCTCACCCAGGCTCCCCCACCCCGCGGCCGCCGCTATTGCCGCTGCCTCCGCCGCCGCCGCCGCCGCTGCTGCTGCTCGGGCTCGGGCTCCCGGGCTCCAGCTCCCGGGCTCCGGCTTCCTAGTTGCGACGAAAGCCCCGGCCAGCTTCGGCGCATGCGCCGTGCCACCGGCTCCGCGGGGTTCTCCCTCTAGTTCCCTCCCCTCCACTCCGGCCCTCTGGACGCTTCCGGGCGTGCGCAGGAATCCGTGGCTCCGGGTTTTGGAAGCTACAGCGTCGGGAGTGGGGGGAGGGGAGGAAACGGAGGTCCTGGGGCGAGAAAGCAGCCCCTCCTTCTCCAGTCGCACCTCCTGCTGTGCTGGGCAGAAGGGTCGGGAGGGGGCTTCCGTAGGACAGTAGAGTCCATCACAACAAGAGCCTTTGCGTCCCTTTCCTAAACCGTGCTTTCCCCTGGCCCAGCTGCCCGCTGACACTTCTATAAACATTTAATGTGTTTGTTATGTGAGTTCTCTGGTTGTATTTTGTTTCTTTCCCTTGTTTCCTATTTATTCCGATATTGGGTAGATGCGTATTCTCGGCGGTCCGGGCTAGCAGAGAGCAGATCTGGGTGTGAATTTCTTGTCTTTGCATCTAGCAGAATCTCACTCAAGTCAGCCTCTCTCTCTCTCTCTCTCTCTCTCTCTCTCTCTCTCTCTCTCTCTCTCTCTCTCTCTCTGTATGTATGTACATAGACATATATATGTACATATACATATATTTTTCTCCTGACAGTAAATGTACTCAACGCTATGCCATGAGGCTCTTGGAATGTAAATGTGAAAAGGACTTGAGAGATTCACTAGATGTCTAGATTCACGAGGAAACAACGGCCAACAAAAATTTAAATAACTTGGTCATGGAGGTAGTAAGTAACAAAGGCAGATTTTGAACCCAGGTCTTCTGATTCCAAATCCGTTGTTGTTTGTGGTTTTTTTTCTCCCAATGAAAGGGGGAAAAAAGGTAAGATGACAGCCTCTCTATGGTCTCCTGGAGAAGGCAAGATACATGTAATCATGAGGTAAGAGAAAAATATGGAACAATAACATACCTTAAAGGCGGAAATGTTTGGCCAGAGTACTAGCAGCCCTGTGCTAACAATTAAACTACCAATAAATGTTTGAAGCACTAAGCTGCTTTGGATCTCTTTCTCCAGACTACTGTAATGCAAACAAGAATAATAAAAGCTCACATTTTCTGTAAGCTTTATGTCAACAAAGCACATTCTTCACAACAACTCCATGAAAAGGTGATGGTTCAAACTGTTCTTTCAAAGCACCAAGATTTGGTGTGAGTATTTCCTCTAGCAACACAGCTTGGGAATCCCTTTACAACTTAGTAGCCCCTATTAAAGAATTGAAAACCTAGCAGCACCCTGTAGGCAACTTGGTGATGAGCCTTTCCAAATTTAGCTAAGCTTCAGACAACAGACATAATATCCATTACCAGGCCCAAATTTGGAGCCATTCCAGTTTGGTACAATCTGTCAGCACTTGCAGAGGCTTCAAGAATCCGGAGACACTATCATGTCACAAGGAGGCATCAGAGTAGAACTTTACACAAGTATATATCACTGGATTTGGAAAGCAAAGGAATTAAGCTAAAACCCATCACCGTAACTTACTACCTAGACAGGATTACAACCTCTCTGGGCCTCAGTTTTCTCATCTGTAAGGTTGAACTAGGAGGTCTCTAAGGATGTCTAAGAATGCTTATTTAGGGAGTCTCCAAGACTGCTTCCAGCTGTACATCAATGGCTCTATGAAGTGGCATTTACTGGCTAATAACCTAGCTATTTTGATTGTATATGTAATTCTTTTTTGATTATAGGATCATAGCATATGTGTATTATTCCTGTTTTACAAATGAGGAAACAAACTTAAAGAGTAGCAAATTAACCACTTTCACAAACTAGGAAATGTAATTAGGATTAGATCAGAAGTGTTAGATTTCAAATCCACTGAACTGTTGATTATACTATACTGCCACTAGAAGATGACCTAACCTCAAGAATTCACAAGAACTTTAGAGCTGGAAGTACCTTTGAAGGTCATCTAGTCCAATCCATACTGAGGATATCCTCGACAATATCTTCAAGGGATCATCCAGGCTGCACTTAAAGACTTGTGGTAGAGCCCCAATCCCTCTTAGAGCAGCCCATTGTATTTTGGAATAGTTCTCTTAATTCAGTTCCAGGGACAAATCCTTCTTTGATTTGACAGTCCTTAAAATACTTGAAAACTACTTATATGTACCTGACTTTCTTGTCTTTTTTCAGAATAAATATCCCCAAAATCCTATATTTAATGACCTGAGATTGGAATGAATGACCTCTAAGCACTTTCAGGAGAAGTTGTCACAATCAATGGAACACTGAATTTAAAGTTAGAAGACATAAGTTATAATCCTGCCTCAGACACTTGCTGAATATGTGACAATGGGCAAATAACAGTTCTTCAGCCTTTTGCAGGTGAGGAAATTCACCTTTAAAACTGAGATGATAATATTTATACTAACTCACAACAACCAACCTAACTCACAATAAGAACAACAACCAACCTAACTCATAAGCCCTTTGAAAGAAAAGTACTTTGGTTTGGTTTGGTTTTCCCAGTAGATAGCATTTTATTTTTTCCAAATGCATGTAAAGACATTAAAAACTTTCATGTTTAATATAAAATTTTGAGTTCCAAATTTTTCTCCTCTCTTCCCCCACTAAGATGGTAAGCAATTCCATATAGGTTATATATGTGCAATCATGTAAGAAAATATATATATACATATATATATATATATATATATATATATATATATTAGTCATGTTGTGAAAGAAAAAACAGAACAAAAGGAAAAAAACCATGAAAAAAATTAAGTTAAAATAGTATGCTTCAATCTATATTCAAACTCCATCAGTTCAATGACAGTATTTTGTAAATCTTAAAAACAAAACAAAACAAAACTATAAAGGTGAGTTCTGGTTGCTTACTACTTGCATGCCTTGGAAAAAAGTCAGTAAACTTTCTCTGGACCTTAGTTTCCTCAACTGTGGATAGAGGCTGAATAAAATAGGCTCTGAAGTACTTTTCAGCTCTAAATGTATGATCTTATGGTCCTTCAAATATCCTAGTTTCACTTCTCTGGATGATCTCTAACTTATGGCAGCTAATTTTTTCCAGGCACTGTGGTAAGTGCTTTACAAATATTACCTCATTTGATCCTCACAACAGCTCTCAGAGGTAGATACTATTAATATCGCCTCTTTATGGTTGAGGAAACTGAGACAAGCAGAGTTCAAGTGACTCAGCCAAGGTGGAACAGCTAGTAAGTGTCAGAAGCTGGATATGAACTCAGGTCTTCCTAACTCCAGGTCTATGTTCTATCCACTTCACCATCCAGCTGCCTCAATATTTTTCTAAGATCTATCACCCATAACTCAACATAAATACTCCATTGGTCTTCTAACCAAGGCAGAGACAAGAACCATTACTCCCTTGTTCTGAACATTTTGTCAGTAAGCATTTATTAGTGCTTACTATGTCAGGCACTGTGGTAAGTGCTGGAAATACAAAAAAAAAGGTAAAAATAAAAATCCATAATCCCTTCTTTCAAGGAGGGTAGAGTTTAATGGTGAAGCCTAAGATCCAATTAGTTTTCTTTGACTATCAGATTACTGTGCTGATTCACACTGAGCTTTCAGTTTGTTCAGAATTATAGTACTTTTTCAAATGCACTGTTTTCTAGCAAAGCCTCTTCTGTCATAACAATAAAGTTGATTTTTTGAAACCAAATGGAAGATTACAAGACTACACATTTATACCTAACAAAATTCATCTTTATTATATTCAGACCAGTGCTTTAGCCTACCAAAATCTTTTTGGATCCTGTCATTCAGGGTATTAAATATCCCTCCTTTGTTTCTTCTGCAATTATAATATGCATGTTTTCATCCAAATCACTGACAAAAAGTTGAACATCATAGTACCAAGGACAGTTCCCTGGAGGATTCCTAGGGACCTCTGTCCCTCAAAATTAATTTTAACTCATCAGTTGGCATTATTGACCAATCCATTGGTGTTATCATTCAACCAGCTCAATCTAGTGTCTAATCCTATTGATTTTACCATTGTAACTTCTCTGGTGTACCTCCCCCCACCCCTTTTCTCCTCTGAGTGTCACCAGCCTGGTGCAAACCTTCATCCCTTTACTGAACTATCACAATAGCTTGTTGGTTGGTCTTCCTGCCTTAATTATCTCCCCACTCTAGTCTTTCCTCAACTAAGCCACCAAATTAAACTTCCTAAATATAGCACAGAATATGTGTGTGTGTGTGAATATACATTGTCTAATAACATTGTCAAAAAAGTAAATTAAACTAGTTTGATGTAACCTGTTCTTGATGAAGACTGAAGATATGATGGCTATTTATTAACCATTTTTTCCTTTTCTAATGGTTTACTTTATAACATTATAAGTTATCCTTTATAACCTTCTGGGATTTCCCCCCAGGCATCATAATCAAGCTCACTGTTGTCTCTCTAGTTAGTGGGCACTACTCTCTTCCCTTTTTGAAAATTGAGGCCTTTCCATTCCTGAAAGACTTCAACAATTCTCCATGAACTTTTGAAGTTCACTAACAATGCTAAGAATTGACATATTTCAGTACCCTGGAAGGCACCTCATGACTTCAACTCATCAACACCAGCTTATTATTATCTCCTTAATTATCTTGTGTTTCAACCCCATATTAGCCATTTTTGCTATGTATTTATCATTGTAACACTAATTGTGCTTTGG